ACTTTATAAATTTTAACGATTTTTGGAAAATCTCGAGCTACGAGCTTGGGAGTTGGTACAAGGGGGTAAATGAGGATGCTGATTCAAACCGAAATCTATTTCATTGATTTCAACAATTTTTGGAAAAGGAGTTGCTATAGGGGATACTAGGGGGCTGATTATGATTGGATCGGCTCTAGCCAGATACGTCGGCAAGTTTGAGATGTGATTGCTTCAGTTATTCGATAAATCATTCGAATATTTATTCGAAATTCGACTTCCAATGTTCGAATATATTCGATATTCATTCATTCGCTATTTTTGATTTTCCAAATTTATTCGAAATTCATTCATTCGATATTTTTGATTTTCCGAATTTATTCGAATTTCATTCATTCGATATTTTTGATTTTCCGAATTTATTCGATATTCGTTTATTCGAAATTTTTCCTTTTCGAATTTATTCGATATTCATTCATTCGATGAAAAATTCTCGAATTACCCAAGTATACTTGACTCCCTGTAAACGTGATAAATAAATCCGGCTTTCCTAGTCTTTGGGCAACTGCCATGGCATCACTATAAAGCTTCTGGTACCAGCTACGGCTTCCAACAAATTTCTGGGGCAGATTCACTAGCTTTCCCAACTTCACTCCTTTCTCCTTCAGTTTGCCGTCTAGATATCTGAATAAGGAGCTTGCGGTCGAACTTCTCAGTTCCGTACGATGTAATCCAATGCTGCTCTATCGGCTTCAATTCTTGCAAATGTGTGAAGCACGTATTGCGAGTATAGCTTTCCCGTCCCAATTATACGATGTTTCTGTAAATCTCCTCGACGGGCAAGGATGTAAAGAGCGAACTCCCTTCGTGAGACGAATCGTGTCTTACGCTCATCCTTTGATTCAAGCCTACTATCATCAAAATCATCGTTATTATCTTCTTCGTAGTGTTCTTCCAGCAACAGTCCTGGATCATTTTCACTAATTTTTTTCATCGTACAATGACTAACACGACGTTTTGGCAGTTTTTCTTTCACGAATGTCTGCTCTCCACGAACGAAGTATAACGGATATGTTAACGGATCAATGTTGTAGCTGTGATGTGGCGCTATCGTTTTCCCTCCCCTAGACATGATTCGCAATCCTTCGTTCAGTTCCTCATGAGTTAACATACCACCGTCCTTACTTACATAAATGGCGGCAATCTGATTTTCGAACACAGGTACATTGAGTCTTCCTGGGTGAATATTCGATGTTAAAGACGGCGCAACATCTCTTCTTTGCTTTATATTCATTATAACCTTTGGAGAATCTCCTTCTTGAGTGTGCTGCTTTTGCAGCTCTTCCTTGTATATCTCATACATTGTCATGTATGATTGCACAATGGGATTGTACTTTCGCAGTATATCCATTATCTTACGTAACAATGTGAATTCGACTTTACTATCCCACAACTTCATTGTTTCCTCTATTGATCGTTGTACCTTGAAGTCGTCTGCTATAAATAACTGTGCAAAGCATGCTCTATTGGAATCCGGATTCAAATGACACAGTCCTATATCAAAGCGGCCTTGTAACACCAATGGTCTTTGACCAGAAGATCCTTTGAATGACCTCAAATTTAGGCACAATCCGGCACAAGCTAGCATATTATTTATAGGACGAATCATATAGAAAAGATTTTCATCCCGCAAAGCAGCGTCCCAAAACCAGTCCAACAAAGGATCCCTTCGAGGATTGAACATGCTTTCCGGTACAACCACCTCACCGTCGTTGCAGCAGATAGAAGAGCTTTCTTTCTGGAACAGCAGTGCCCCACATGCGGGACATATTTTGTTCATTTCTCCCAGCGTGAAAATCTCTGCTTTACTGGATCTTATCATCACGTTCCGCATCTTACGTCTCCTACTTGATGGGACAGGAACTTTCATCAACAATCGTATTTCATCCAGTGTTTTTCTTATTTTGTCTTCAGTTGGGAGGTGGATCTCAACAGCAGGATGATTTGACATACGATTTTCTACGAAGGCGCAAATGCCAACCACTTGCACTTCAAACTGCGTCCAACTAAAATTTTTCATGGTAGGGATGAGTGCAAAGCTAGGATTTTCGAAACCGTAAGCAATCGCTAAATTCTTCAGCTCCTGGCGGAAATTATTCTGTACACTTGTGGCGGTAAAATCAAGGATAACTCCTCGACTTCTACTTGGCGACGTTCTTGTAACCATAGCGACACCTAGTTGCTTTGTCCTATTAAGGTATAAGATGAAGATTGAGGAAACGTGACTTTCTCGCTTACGACATGCGTCACATCCCAAAACGATGAAGTCTGTTTTGTTACGTTTACCATACTTTAAGCGAAGAAACTCAGCAAGAGAACAGGGCGACAACCACGTATTGTCCATTGAGATATGTTTAGGTTTCGTATAGCAATGATCGTTTTCCACATCTCCTACTCTTGCTAGCTTCGTTGGAGGTTCCAAGTCACTGACTCGAATGTCAACATCCTTATCGTTATATTCTTTTGCCGGTTCCTTTTTGACACTCATATGCTGCCACTGCGCCGAAACCCAAGACTCTTTTGGGACTGACATTGCAAACGTACGCTCTGTAGCTTGACCTGCCCTCTCTTCTGGCACATAGCAGGACAAATTTCCATTGTGATCCAATTCCCCTGTTCTACAAAGCATATCGGAAGTTGCTATGCGATTTCTGATGTAGTGCCGATAATCCTGTAAAAACTCAGCTGTGGCAACCTCTTGCACTGTTCGTTCTTCCTTACAGAGACGCTCTGCATACATGCACACGAAAACACCACAACTGTGCCCATCCTCCTGCACATGGACACCACCAGCAGATTCGACCAAAATAGCATCAAGACTTCTGTCTGTAATCTTACGCCATGTCGCCTCCAACTTTGCCCGTTCTTGCAGTGGAAGAAGCCGCGGCGAGTACGAGTAAATATGACCCATTGAATCATACAAAACTATGGTTTTACGTGCAGGCCGTAGCCAGGCAAGGGACCAATGATTGCCGTACATATGCAGTGGAAATAGCAGTTCCCCATCCGTAATCGGATACCCGCGAATGCGATACGCGTCCTGTGTTTGTATGAGACAAGGATCAAGCGGTGTGAACCTGCTCCCATCCGCAACAATACTTATAAACGCATGAATGACTTCATCGCTGAGCCAGCTATTACCACTCAAGCAGGATAGCAAATCCTCCGTCAACTTGTGCTGAGTCCTCACTGTGTAACGCGACTGCATCCCGATACAAGAAGAGATATCAGACTTTCCACACAACTACGAAAGTAGCTAACGAAATCCTTATATTTGTATAATTATATCAAAGTTTTCGTTTGAAGATAGCCGAAAGGAGTTCTCTGTAATAAGGGATATTATAGACGTAAAAATCCCAGTATGTTGTACAAACGTGCACGATGGAGTGGTACGAATGAAATGAAATGAACTACCATACACACAAACACACTTCTATATTTCAAAACAAACTTCAACAAAGTAATATATATAAGAATCACTCCCATACTAGAAAACAATACCTAATGCACTGTTCCATGTGTTAATAGCATCCGTCCTTACGCCAACAAGAGGGACAGTCCTCTTCATCATTCCCAAGCTCTCCCCACAACTTCAGATGCCACTCACACCAGGACAATATCGTCTGCAGTACAATTTCCCGCTCAGATAAACAGTCCAATCCGCACTTCAGCAACCGTGAACCAGTTAACAGTTGAATGAGCTGAGGCATCACAGCATTTGGTATGCCAGATTTAATCAATTTCTTCAGCCAAAAAAAGGCAGTGACCGCTTGCACAGCAATTTTCTTACTTCTGTATACGCCATTTTCAGCACTTAATAAGCACCGCAGGAACAACACGCTATGCATCACTTCATCATATGTGTTTTTTTGGTGACGCAATAGAATGAGACGTTGCCAGCTTGTTTTTGTGCCTCGAGCTAGCCATCAGCCCCTGCTTATAACCTCGTTTTTGAACTCTCCGTTCTAGCCGTTGCACATTGTCAGCTGCAAAGGAGGAGAAACCGAGACGTTTTCACTGTTGATCGCTGACTCTTTGATGAGTACTGTTTTAGTCTCATCTTTTTCGATTACCGTTTTACCTACGATATATACCTTGAGTAGGAGGTTTTTCTCCCAATCCTATAAACTTATTTGTGGCGGCATGTACACTAACTATCGCAGAGCAGAATCCATCCAGAACCCAGAATCCAGAATTCAGCAAGCCTCCCAACTTTTCAAACGGATTCTCACTTCTAGTCTGATGTAACGACTGTCGCGCTTGTGCAATGGAATGTCTGAGGGCATCCGCTTAAATTTCGCAAAGCTTATCCAAACGCTGCCTTTAAAGATTTGGCTATACATGACTGCTGCTTCCTATCGCTATCACTGTTACCGCTGTTACTGCTGTTCAGTAATAGAATACGGTGCACTCTTATTTTTCCATACGAGATCTCACCGAGTGGTGAGTATGTTTCTTCTCAAAGCGTATGTATGGTCCGTGTTCTATTTGCCCTTCATGGCGTGCTTCAAAAACATAGAAAAAAATGCACAACACGCAGACTTAGTATTGTTCGACACGCGGGCAGCAGTAGAAACGGTGAAGTAAAATCCTTAAATTACTTGCGCAATAATTGATCAGGTGAAGACGTCTAATATACAACTGAGATGAAGAGATGTGTGATTTAACAACTTTGTTAAAATTTTACTATTTTTTAATCTGTGGTTTTCGTTCCCCCCTTTGTGTACTCTACCAGCAGCCTCATCTTATCAAAGGCGACCCCGTCACCTATGGAAAGGTCGGTGAGGGAATGACTCCCCAATCATTTCATATAAAAGAAACGTAGCGTACGGTATACTTTCATTTCGTAAACAACTTTTGTAAGAAGCACCTTTTTGTTTGCTAGCTTTATGCTGTTGCTTTGAATTGTATTGTTTGTCTAGTCCGCATGTATTTTAGTTTCAAATTTCAGCTTATTCGCTATGAGTTATCAAGTACTCCTGAATGTGCGCGGGGAAAGATATCTAACTACCACGAAAACGCTTAGAAATTGTCCGGATACGAATGACAAAAGTCTTTTCCTGAAGCTTTCTATTCCGGTGGGTAGATTCTTCGCATAAGGATTATTTATTTTTTATGTGCAGCGCACGGGAGAGCTCTATCTCGATAGAGATCCAGAACTTTTTCAATGTATTTTCCTTTATTTGCTGGATGGAAAACTTGTGTTGCGATACTACGACGACCTCTTAATCGAAATGCTTCAAGAAGAAGCAGAGGTTAGCACTTGTTCTGCCCAAATTATGCGAGATGATTGGCTACGAAAATTGTACCATTCGATGCAACTTTTTTCCTCTTTCTACCAGCTGCCTTCTCTTTGCAAAACATGCTCAATTAAGGACGAAATCACGGTATTTCTCATTTTGACGAAGTTCAATGAATCTAGTTTGGTACTCTAAGATTCAAAACCCTTATGTCTCGAAACAAAATTGCTCAAACAAAAGTTTAGAAAGTTATGTATCAGTACGCACCTGTGCGATAAGAGATGGTGAAATTCAGATATAGGTGATTTTGTCGGCAAGAGTCGCTTTTATCACAAACAAAAGACGGCTGTTGAAATGTTCAAAAGGTTCGTCCTTCTGCTGGTTTTAAGGGCACTTGACACGTCTTCACCAAAAGTTTTGAAAATTAGTGAAATGTGGACATCTTAAAAGTAGAGGGTGGCAAAATTTTGATTGTCTCAGCGCTCCTCATAAAAATCACGTCGCGAGTATAATTGCTGGAAAGAGGAAAAAATTCTGGATTGAATATCTTTTGAAGTATTTGTTTATCATTATTTTGTATGATTTGCGGGTTATCCAAAAAACGGAAAGCACTTTTGCACCATCTAAAAGAGTGCTCATTCAGTATTTTGGTTTGCCTAGTTTGGCGCACAAATTGAGCAAATTGAAGCCATTCCAAGGGGTTTGTATCATTGCAGCAAACGAAGAAACTAAGTATTCTGAAAACACGGACTATGATAGCTAGGTATTTGTAGAGACTGAGCTAAGCACAAGACAAGACCATTCTTTTTGTTTATTCTTTTAGGCTGTACAAGAATGTGGTGGCACCGGTTTTATCTTTTGGAATTTAATGATCAGATCCTGCTGTTATATTTGCTAACGCATAGTCACAATTTCTTTTTTCTGTGCATGCCCTAATCAACTTTCTCCGAAAATCGAATTTTCTCTCATTCTTTAAAATTCTGTGTATTGCGTCTTGTATGTCGGTGTAACTTTCGGTTTTCTTTTACAAATGAAATGATTTTTTTGTTATCGTGTGCAACTGCCAATAATTACAAAGACTCGAAGATGGATCGCCTGTCTCTCAGCTAAAATGTGCACGATTGTAATCATTCACAATCACGTCAATCGCCAAGTAAAAGCAGTATTAGTGATTGACTCAGTGTACGGTTAAGATTTTGCAAAAGAGTACAACTTATTACCCTTCTTTAAGGGTTTTATCGAAATTGCTTGTTGTTTTCAAAGGCAAATTATCTGGTGAAGTAACTACAGAAGTTGATAATACGTCTAAAAAGAAGCAAGGTGTTCTTGAGGATCCGGCACCTTTTGTACATGCTTCTCTCTGCAAAATTTGTGATCATTAGAAAACTTGTGATGACCTAGGAGCCGAAAATTGGCATGACAATTATTGAGTGCTAAAGGCGATTTGGCACGTGGAGGTAACTGGATTGCTAACTGGCACTTCACCGACGGGACTTCTTTCTTAACTCCTAGCAACGATTTTGGTTAATTTGAACGTTGTATCTTGGTGTAACTCTGCAAGCAGTCATACTCTTTTCACTTAGACTGTATGCGCACCATGCCTTTCCAGCTGAACTTTTTGATCAAAACATCACTAGATGAAGTTTATCAGCTTTTACGGCATTGAAAAATTGTTATACGAGGTTTTGATGACCCGATACAATATTTCTCGCACCTGGTAGCCAACGGGCCGCTAGTCATTTTACAATGAACATGTAGCACGTGCTGTATCATTCTAATGTCAAAAGGCAGGATGCGGCAGTTCATCTCAAAGCGCTTTTTGCGCATGGTAGAAGAAGTTTGATGTGAGTGAAACATTTTGCTTGAACTATTCAGAGTTTCGGGTGAGACCGGGATTATGAGCTAGTGTGTTTATGCTGTTTATGAGATTCTGTGTATTCTTGAATGCCATTTTGGAGTTGTTCATACTTTTTGCCAGCTCGACCACATAAAGCTGTATTCGCGACATAAGTGGAAGGCACTCGCGCGAAGACAGATACATTGAGGCGCCGATATATTTTACTTTCCCAGTAAAAGCTTTCATACAAGCACAAGGCTTCATTAATTTTCCTCTAAGCTTTTATAGCACTCACAAAGATTTTCGTTGGGGCGCAATCTACTTCGTTCGCAAAGGTCCTAGAATGCTAGAATCCATACATACTAGAATGCAGAGATTACAAGACAGGAGGACTTATAAAAGATATGGAATTTATTTCGACTCTTCATCGGATATTCATCAAAAAATCAATATCAATACTGATATTAGAAAGGAGGCTAAGGTCTTAAGCAGCTAAGGTAGTGGCAGTTTTTACGCGTCGAGGTTTTTTGACAACGAGGAATTCCGAATAGTTTTGTGAAATTAAAGTTTAACATGTTCACGACAAGGCTGATTATTTGATGACTGCCGTTTCGGACCAGAGCATATTTCGCAATATTGAGTTTACGTAATTTCCTGGTCACTGATGCGTCTTGTGGTCTGAAGTGTTAATGTTTTGAGAAGTATTCCAAGAGGTGTATACAGAAATTTAACCAATGTGCCCAAAAAGTTTCATCTTAACTAGCAAAGAAACTTGAGAAAGCGTAGACCCACCGGTGGGTCGTATTGTCCGAAATGGCAGGACACGTGCGACCCACCGGTGGGTCGTAATTGTCGTGAACGTGTTAACAAGCTTACAACGTTATCAAATTCTGCAATGCTTCGACCGCGCACCAATATAGGTGTCGACAAGAGCTTCTATAATGACGAAGTTAAACCTACGACTAGCTTTAAAGATGTCGCATTTTTTCCCCATTCCTTTTTCACAATTTTTCTGAAAGCGGTCCAGAACGTCATCGGCAAGCTCCGGATTACCATCAATTTCAACATGAAAAGACTCTTGGACGTCAAAGGCAGACAATGGGATCTCCACAGATTTCAAATGTGCATTGGCACGTATTACAAATAAACGTTTATCTGTAAGCAAGGGAAACAAGAAGCCATTACAATTAGGACACAATCACTAACCGTGCGGGCGCTGTGCACGTATGAGTCGAGGCATTTTTATGTCTGCGAGATCTGTATCCTCAATATGCATCTCAAAACGAGATTCTTCTACGTTTTCAAAGAGCTTGTTGAAGTTTGCTTCAGATAGGAAACGAGCATAGAACACAAAAATCTTTCTAAACCCAAGTTTCTTGCTACCACTGCACCTCTTTGCGAATAAACCATATTGGTCGACATCATGATTTGGCAGGTCGTAATTAGCGCAGTCTGAAAACATAAAGCTATTGATCTATTTTCCCGTTTCATATTCGTTATAAGTTTTTATTTAGTCAGAGGTCTCGGCAATAATGCCTTCCTCAGAGGCCTAAAAAGGACTTTTCATGTTGTATATCTTGCATTGCCAAATACACCACGCTTGCTTTGTTTAATTTCTCCGAAGTGAAACAAATGAGTGCTTTTGAAGTAAATCACTTCTCACCGAAATTGCGTTACGTGACAGTCTACACTCTATTTTGAACGGTCCCGAGCTTAGCGCAGTACCAGTTTTTTCCATATGGCATATAACGCACTTCTGTATGACACAAGTTGTATCGTACATTCTGTTACGTATTAGCTGCCTTTATCTTTTTTGACGGATTTTTTACAAGAACAAGATCTCCGTCTGAATGAGCTTGTACCAAACATTGTTTACATACGAAACAACACAACAAACGCGTTTGTTATCTTACCGGGTAAGAATAATTAGCATAAGGGAATTGCACCTTCGTCTCAATCACATCGCTTATTTGTAGTCCTCTGTAAAATCCATATTCTGTTGAGGAGTACCCATAAGAGGCTGCTATCTCGCGCGCCTGAGAAATTTCTGCTTTTCGCTTTCGCCACTGCATATGCCTACAGTGTCTTGAACATATTGTACAGAACCGCTCATTTCATGGCCATTGGTAGGACAAGTTAGCGTGCAAAATGATACTTTTAGAGGCCCCTTTGCTATAAGATTCAACAAGTACGTCGCCGTTTGCTATCGTCAACTGTGGGTTCAAGTATAAGAACCAACCATCTTCAGGTTTTTCTCCCTACTGCAGCTTGTGATGCAATTGTTGATTCAAAATCTTGGAACATTCATTCAATTCAGACTGTGTCGATGCTATTATGCAACAATCGCCAATGTATCAACAAATATAAGCTGATACCTAGGCCGGTAATAATCAATCCCTCCAAGCTGGCGACAGGTCTCACCGGCAGGTCGCCGGCATCTTGACGTGAGGTCGGCAAGAATGAAACTACATTTAGGCCATCTAAAGCCTTTTTACAAGAAGATCCGTGGATGAAGATGTCACGGCAGCTTTGCAGACACCTTAATCGCAATTTAAGGTTCCTGACCCTCTCCCCCCCCCCCCTCCCGTAGAAAAAATGAAAGGCAGGAAGTGCTGCCGGCAACTTTGTGAGCTAACCTGCAGGCAACCTGCCGGCAGCTCGTCGAAGTTTGCTGAGTGCGAGCTGTCGGCATGTCAGGTACGAGAAATAGTGTGCCCTTTTGGAAACGCAAGGTGCCGGCATCTTGACGTGTCCCCACCACGTCGAGATGCGCAGCTTGATATCACACAGTTCAGTCAAACAAGAGCTCAAAATCATTTTCCGTCAAAAAATCAACATTTCTGCTATTACATTATTTCTCCTCGTTTAAATCGGTAATGTATATGTGGAAGAGATGGATATCCAGTCACGTGGTCCAGACACACTCAGTGATAAATCTCATTTTAAATTTGCGGTAGAGATAGATTGGTTGTTGTATGCTGGGGTCTTATATGTTTTCACAAGGTTATAAAAGATCGGAGAGCATGAATTATCCAACTCAAGCCTACTAACAATCGCAGTACGAAAACTGGACAGATAACTGAAATGACTGGTTGCCGTGGAGCACACGAGGGATGATAAGAAATGGCGCTGACGTTTTATCGCAAAGAGACCTCTATTCTTTTGCAGCCTAGACCTACCCGTCTGGCCCCATGAAAGACCTTTTTTAGGAATATGTTCAAGCTGTGGACGTTTGCAGCAGCGAAAGCGAAAAGCAAAAGTTTTACAGAATAGCTCGCGGGATACAGGCTCTAATGGCTATACCTTATCAAGATGTGATTTCTCTAAAGGACTACAGTCGATGTGACTGAACTCAAGCTGCACTATCCTTGTACTTACCATTTATGTACGACAGGGTAACAAACGCGTACACTGCTTGAGCAAGCTCATTTGAACCGAGATGCTGGTCTCGTTCATATTCCACCAAAAACAGAAAACGCAGCTGATTAACTGAATGTACGCACGATACAACTTTTGTCACAGAAAACTGCGTATGTGCCCTACTGAATAGATGGGGAACTTCAGTCCTGGACCGTTTACCAAATGGAAAGTTCAGAATGCCACGCAATGTACCATCTCAGACAAATGACCGGAACTTCCGCAAAGCGCTTGCGGAAGTTCCGCCGGGTCACCTGCGGAAGTTCCGCAAACGTGCTGCGGAAGTTCCGAAGAATGCCAACCACAACAGCAAAAGAGAATACCGAAGTGAGATTTGAACCTCACTCTATTGACTGTGAGACCCACCTACCATCCTCTACGCTACGGCTGACATGTTCCATAATGCACTCTAGTTGTTGGCGAGGCAACATCACGAGACAACACATTGAAGTTTTGCGGAAGTTCTGGCAGGACAAAGTGCTGCGGAACCTCTAGCATTTTTCGGAATTTTCGCAGGATTTTGAAGAACGTTCTGAGGAAGTTCCGATTTTCAATTTTTTGCAATAGTGAACAAAATCCTGCGGAACTTCTGCAGATTTGGCTTGTCCTGCGGAAGTTCCGGTGATTTGTCTGGGATTTGATTCGACTGGCTTGGCCTCGGAAAGACGGGGCTTCGTTGGCCTAATTGAGGCTAGCTAATAACCAAAGAGCACTCGCGCGAGAAAGATGCAGGTTTGTCGCGGGCGCGAGCGGCCTTGATCAAATCACAAAGCCCCGCCCTCCCGGACCAAGCCAGTTGAATCAAAGGCTACATCGGAGGAACAGGCCCACCGCTTAATATTCATATGAACGATTACTTAGCTATCAAGAACGAAAATTATGACGAGTCGTTTGAAAATATGAAGCAGTTGACTACGACTGTACAGCTTTAGTATGAACACACAATCCGAGCTTGTGAAAATAAAATTGCCGCTCGGCGAGGCTAGAAAGATCATTTACTGACAGACTTAATCCCAAGCGATCTCCTGCCGTTCACTTCATACTGTCAATACAAGATACCTTTAGATTACACGCCATTTGAGCTGCTTTCCATTCAGATGGCTCAATCATCACTCACCTATCAGAGTATGTAACCCATCGCTTCTGTTTTGCGATCTTGGTGAAGCTAGTGGGTTTCTTCAGAAATACTCATCGTCCACATAAAAGAGATTAAACAGAGTCTGGTAGGTACAAAACATAAGTGAGAGTTCCTTTTAGACCTGTGAGGAAGGCGTTATTACCGAAATGTCAGGCTAAGACAGGACTTAGCAATCCTGTTTGGCTTACACAACTGGAGAATATATCACAAGATGCTTTGGTTCACAAAGAGAGAATCTATGAGATGTTGTCTCATTGTCTGCAGCGGGACAGCATCAAATGTGTAGAGGAACGGCACTATGGACGGTAAGCAATACATCGTCATTATCAGCGAGACATTAGCTACTGTTAGCTACTCAATTTTTAGCTTCTTCTTCCACTTCAATAGCTACCAAGTGCCGCATTAATTTGACTTTGCGAAGAGGAAATAAAAGATAGATTGGCTTGCTTGTGTCTGCCCTAATTCAGACAATTACTGCGAGTACCCGCGGCCCTAACACGGTGTTTTGGTAATGCGCAAACCTTAATTTCTTGGACTGATCATCCACGGCCCTAGATCCATTGTTTGGCAACTCAATTTTTTCGTGAGAGAAAAGCGCGGGCCCTGACAGCTTTATCGGAACACCCGCGGCCCAAGAAGAAAAAGTACTCGGGCGAGTCCCGGGCCTTACAGGACGCCCTGCATATTTAGTTTTCGGGCAAGCCCCGGCCCTTTAGGTCACGGGCCGACAGAACCTCTGTGAGCCCCGGGCTTTGCTGGAAGCTGCAACTCTTATACGCTGTGATACAAATCGAGTTAGGCTCTGGTCATTGATAGTTTCGTGGATGACGATCACTGGAGTCCTTGACCCTAGCGCCAAGGATGGTCGTATTTCTATGTGTAGATTTTGGATTCTATGCCATGGAATTGGAGACAAGTGCTCAAAATCCTGTATAATTCAGACACAGGTGCGTATTCAGGCCATCCGGGATGCAAATCGCACATTTATCGGCCGCTTCCCGGGCCACCCGATGGTATTGTTCGGGAGCTTATCGGGTAGTCCAATGTCGGGCGCATCGGTTACTTATTGGCGCGCCCTCGGGATAGGCGTGGCTTCGCGCGTGGGTGGTCGGCGGGTGCTCGCATAACTGTTTGAGAACGCAAGAGACGCAGGATCGTTGTATAACTTTTGATTCTATGAACGAATGAAGAATGCAAGTGACCGAGAGTACTTTTTAGAGTAACTTCCTAACTTTCCGAGCTTCTTCCTAATCTTCTCGCTTCTAGTCTGACCTTATAACTTTGCTATAGCGCGATGGCATATCCGTCACGCTTTGATCGAGCGAACAAATTTTTCAATAAAAGCAATTTGAAGATCTATCTATCCGTTAGTTGCACCGTAACATCATAAATTTGAGGTAGTTTCAGACAAAGCAAGTGAGTATGTTGAGCCTTCGCTGTAAGAATATCTCCTGGCATTTTTCCAAGAAAGCTTGCTAGAAGTCTGAAGCGTTCTACAGAATTGGTTAACAGCAGTTCACAAAGGTACAAAAGACACTCCTGCGGTAATTTTAATTGGAATGACAAGAAAATACCTATTTCTTCGGACAATACGAACTCCACTGACATATAAATTATCGAGTACACTAAAATCGTTGCACTGTTCGATCCCATCTGGAACCGCTGTAATGAGGTATATGATGGAGTGATGAATACGCAGCAATCGTTATGACATCTGAACCGACCTTCACTTGACAAGTAACTAAAGCAAATGAGCTTCCGTCCAATGCAACTTCGGATGAAACTTTCATTCTGATAAGCAAAGAACAGTTGCATACATAAAGTCTTCTATTATATAAATTCCACAAGTCGTTGATTCCAATGTGAAGCGTAGTAAGCGTACTTAGTAAAAGAGATAGATAGATCAAAGAACATAAAAAAGTTTTTTTGTGGGGTCATCACATTGACATAGACTGGTCATAAAAACGCAAATTAAGCTGGATAAATACGGTTGAGTAGGTTTGTCAGAGGAAGAAATAATATTTGCACACCATCCCAATGACTCATTCTCTTTTAGCTAGTGTCACCCATGCCGTAAAAACTTGGGAAATTTTTCTGCACAAGTACGCGGAGGGCACTCATGTTCAAATGCTGACCTATGGTTTCCAGCATCTATCTCTATCGAAATTCAAATTCGAAAATCCACACGGAGAGCGCAAAAATGGCGAAAAAAGGCTCTAGGGCTTAAAGGCACTGTCCAAGCAAATATGGGCGTATGGGTTTTTTGCCTGGAAAATTGCGAGGGGGTCCTATTCAAGGCACTGCCCAAACGGCAGCGCAAATCGTTCATTCACGGCTGAGAAATCCATTCCCGAATACTCTGCGCCTGCTCAGACACTCGCGGTTGACTCGCGCAGGGGATCCGCCCACAAAATGGATGTTCGCGGCAAAGTCCGGTGGACCGGCGCGAGTCATCATTTTAGTTTCGTCCGGATTTTGGTGCGATTTTGTCGCGAGGAGGTTTCGAAATAACGCACCTATACGTCGACGTATTGATCAATTCTTCCCTGCATTTGTTGCATTTGTTTTTTTTTCTTAGATGAATCTATACTTAGCAAAGCATGTCTTTCCAGAGACGTTCCATGCCGATAAAAACCAGGCTTAGACCAAAGAGAATTAGCTTGAGACGCTCATTTCGAACGCGTCCTTCTGATCACACGGCCATTATCTGCGTTGATCATCATCCGGAAGTAAAGGTGAACCCTTTTTCTCTCTTTCTAGAAGTTATATTTCATTCTTAGATTGTTTTGCTTGCTTACTTTAGCTGATTACTGGACTGTCAGGATAAAGGTTCATGACGCCTTTACCTGTGTGTAGCGGGTTTACATAAGTCTTAGTCTGATGTTTATTATATAAGATATATACAGAAAGTGTAAGAGGAAAGGGGAGAGGGCACCGGCTCCTGCCGGCGGGCGGAGGTCACTGCCAGAGGTTGGCTATCCAAGGCCAACCTCCTTCCTAGGCAGCTGTTGGGGATTAGCTGCATCCCGACATCTCCATATTCTTTTTTTTTTGAATGTGCGCACAATCACAAAAAAATGCATCAAAGTGACAAACGTTGAGATTTCCCAGAAATGTGACTTGTCACTTCTGAGTTTTTTTAAACCATAACGGAAATGCTTCATCCAGCACTATAACTTACAGAAATAATAGCTTGATCAGAGCTTAGAAGATCTGTCCTAGAGCTTGATGGAATGCAGTTTGAAAAATCTCACTTGTGGTGAGTGATAGAAGGAACGGCTAAATACGTAGTGGTTATGCTTTGCCATTATCTGAGTAGGCAAATATTCAAGCGCTCGCGCTTTGAAAGTGGCAAGTAATTGGGCTGGCGGCAATTTATTTTAGGCGGTGCTCATTTAGCATTGAGATATAGAAATAGGTTGACGAAGGCATTTTACGTGTACGACTAGCGAAGCGTCATGCTACTCATATACTTTTCATCCGCTCTCTTGTGTCTTTCATTTGATAGGATGCTGGAAAGTAGGTTTCGTATTCACCTGAGAGTGTCGAAAAGCATAAAATGTTTGACTGGAAATGAGATATGACTTAAATTTATGAATTTGATCCAAAAATTTTTCCAAACATTCGCTATCAACAATGTCAGCCTGATTTCACAGCAGCAGTTTTTTGATCCGTGGAATTGCAGTACGTAATGATTTTAATTTTCAAAATTCTACATTGACTGGAAATAAACAACTTTGAAGCTATACTGAATTGTCTACGAGGTTGTCGTAAAGACTGCTTTTTTTTACACTACATTGCAAAAATTCTCTGAATATTTTGCAAAATGTAGTGGCAACACAACATTAATAGTCTGAAAACGAGATGTTTTGTCATTTATTTTGATAAAGTTTTGTAGTACTATTAACTAAAGCTAAAGTGGGGTCACATGGGAGGGAAATGATATTCTATGTATCAAAAAAAAGTCCGCTTTTCTCTCACTGTTAAGATGAGAGAAAATTCCAGCAAAGCTTTACAGTAGCTACGTACCAACGAATTCCAATGCGTTTTCTTCTGAAAAATTGTAGAGTTTCCGAAGAATACTCCTTAGTGGGTTGTCAATCACTTAGAATCAGAACTGAAGTAAAAAAAAAAGATGATGAGAACTGTGTTGACTTTATGGCGTAGCTTAGTGAGAAGTGATGATGTGTTTGAAGCTCTTTCAGAGTTTGCATTCGCTTTCCATGGATAAATAGTCATATAAGGATGCAAAATGCTTCAGTTTAAATAATGCACTGCTGCGCAAATACGGTTGCAAGCTGAGTAGTCTATGCTGCACATTAGATTATAAAGATTTTTACTTCTACAATATGAAGATTTTCACTTCTAAATTTAATTCTATTTCGACAATGCATATAGCGCTTTTCTAATCTCCAGCAATCTCAAGCAAGTGGCCCCTCTGTAAAGCATTCGAATCTATAATATATTGAGTTTTTTTCTGATACAAATGTTAGTTCATAAATTTGTGGAACTTGTGAAAAAAAAGGAAACGTTTGGCATGTTGAATGACATATTCCTATGAAAATCAACATTTCTTTTCTTTTGAGGTTGCGTCCGCTATGTCAAAAATAAGCTAAAGATCAACATCTGTAACTGCAGTTTCTGCTCAGAATTCTTGAAATAGAGGCTTTGTAGGGGTAATAAACATGAATGTGTTGCTGAGTATTAATAAGGTGACGACTTTTTTTTAATGAATTTGAAGTGCGACTTTTAAAATCTGTCTTCTAAAAAAATTTCAATCCCTTTTTTGTTTATTGAATGGGGGACGAATTCTAGAATACGTACCGCTAATATCTGAACATTTTCTAAAAAGTATGTAAGTAACAAAGCAAAAGTTGTATAACAATCTAGTAATCTCCTTTCTAAAAAATGTTTTCTTCAGCAATCATCTCAAATGTCAGCAATCATCTCAAATGCTTCTTCTATGCTAGAACGAAATTTTTTTTGAAGATTTAGCGACTAAATTCGAAATAATTCGAAAATATTGGTGGAATCTGAGCAAGAATTAATCAGTCTGGTTTTGATGCGTAATGATATCGCCACTCACTAAAGAATATCTTTGAAATGAAGATATGGTGAGGAGTTCCTAGAATCGAAAATGTCACACTAGATTTTTTTTCATACATTCGAAACTTTTTCCAAGTGCTCGAATCTTGTCCTTTTTTCTTTAAACTTGCACTACATAGAAGAAGAAGAAGAAAATGCAAAAATTGAGCAAGAGCTCATGAGATGCATGTTACAGAGGTCCAACTTGATTGCAGATGAGAGATTCTTGGTCATAGCAGATATTTTGCAGTATCTCTATTTGCTCTTTTCCTTTCTTTCAGATTCACTTTTTTTTTCTAATAGGTATGTGCACAGCGCTTGATGAAATGAGCTTTTTTTTGAATTTGTATATGCCAAAAACAATTACATTTTGAAATCGCGGTATACGAGATTCGAAGAACAAAACTATTGGATTTTTTTTTCTAAGCAGCAGCAATGGCTATCATCTGTCCTTCAAAACATGCGACTGTTCCTCAAGTTTGAGGCTTTCAGAATCTACAAACTTGAAAAAACGATGGTCTGCTCCTGAGCCTTAGATGACACGAGATCTGATCTGTGCATGATCGATTTGCTGGCATGATCAGTTATCAACAATATGGAAATATTGGCAACCATAGAAAATTTAACTCAGGAACTGCATAGTTCCTCTCGTGTCTTTTTAGCGGCGGCTGCAATGTGCGATCAAATATTCACCACTAGTCTCCGGACTGACTTGTAGGAGGCACGCGCCGAGACCGATGGTTGATGCATCGGTGTGGATGATATAGGGTTTTCCTAGAATAGGAAGCACTAAAACAAGCGCATCCACTAGGGCATGCTTTAATGCTTGGAATGCTATTTCTTACTCCTTGCTCCAAAAAAACTGCATTTTTTTTATGCGCAGTTTGTTCAATGGATGGGAAATTGTAGCAAAACGCGGTAAATCTTCAAAAGTACGATCCTACACTAAGAATGATTTGAGTGCTATTATTATCTGTGAGGCGCGGAATATCACCAAAGCTGTCGAAAAAAATTTTTTTATTGATCTAGACGTGTATCATTTTCATGAAACAACAAACAATATAATTAGTGTTGTGTACAGTATGAATATTTCTAAATATTTCAAAAGGTTTGAAGTGGTTTTGTATTCGACAGCAGAAGGGGTCATACAGACGCTAAGGGGTCATACTGTGCAACTGCTGCTGTTGGACGTATACCATGATCGTAAAGGATTAGGTTACGCAATTATTAATCCTGTTCCAAGGCTTATCGCGACACAAAGCAGACGTATTTGCACTATCGCAGCTGAAAGGTCATAGCGCTCAAATAATATTAATTTGTCACAAAAAAATTTGTCGCGGGTCACATGCTTACAACTTGCGAGGGCAGCTGCGTTGCTCTATAGCCAAAGGGGGTCACCGCGCGCGGACAGTAGCACTGGGTTTTGCTATATTTCCTGAGAGGTCGAAGCATTACGTTTTGTCGACACTTCCCAGCAGAAGTTATCTGCAGTGGGCCAGCAGATTTATCTTTCTGGGTCTAAAAAAGCAAAAAGCAAAAAAGCAAAAATTAACGGAATCACGGTTTCACGGATTCACGGATCACGGATCACGGAATCACGGCAATTTTTTTAAAAAAATTCACGGATATGCAATCACGGATTCACGGACTCACGGATCACGGAATCACGGATCACGGGAGATGCGAGCGCTTTGCGAAAGAAAGA